ACAATTAACACGACAAGAGTCCAGTCGAGGCATGACTTCATCTGTTAAATCTGAACCAGCAGCAGCTTTTATAATTGGAGTAGATAGGATTATTTGAGTCATACACACACAGCACACAACTTGAACACTGCAAAAAATGCTTTTCCTACTTAGTTTTTTTTGTCTTTATACTTGTTTTCAGCCAAAATATCTAAAAATTCTTAAATCAAAAAGGATTTTCTAGACAAGTAAAAATTATTGTCTTGTTTTCAGAAAAAACAAGTCAAAATTAAGTGAGTTTTTGCTTAGAACAAGCAAAATAATCTGCCAGTGGGGTAAGCAAAATAATCTTATTTCAAACAGAAAACAAGATTATTTTGCTTACCCCATTGGCAGATAATTTTGCTTGTTTCAGGCAAAAACTCACTTAGTTTTGACATGTTTTTTCTGAAAACAAGACAATAATTTTTACTTGTCTAGAAAATCCTTTTTGATTTAAGAATTTTTAGATATTTTGGCTGGAAACAAGACAAGAAATCTAAGTAAGAAAAGCATTTTTTGCAGTGAAAGAAGCAGAGAAAGTGCTTCAATAAACAGATATTGTTTGTGGTTTGCCCTGACAGATGCTTCGACAGATGCGTGTGGACTCAAGTCATGTTTCTCCAGAGCACAACTTACATTTGATGGTTGTGTCCTTGTCTAATTTTGGAAATAATTGAAGAGAATAGAAGTGCAATGATTCTGACTAAAATTGACATTTTGCTAAAATATTTATTTTAAACATAGGTTTAATATTCTACATGTTATATTTATGAGAGCAGTAACTGTAAAGGGGGTATACATGTAATTACTACAGTTGTTACATGTAAAACAATTGCTATGTTAATTTACTATATTCAGAGTATACGTGTATATACACGTGAATACGTGTTCCCCATACCAGTTAACATTTAGTCTCTGTTTTGTTTTTAGCATTTTAAATATGTTTTATGAGTTTTGTTTTAGAATGTGATGTTTATATGTTAACCCTTTTTTTGCGAATGTGAATGTTGCCTTCAGTTTTCACATTGTTTGGAGGACAATGTTGGGCAGGATGTAGGGGCCCACTGAAATTCTTAATCTTTAATTTAAGCAGGATTGGCTGATTGCTCATTACAGGAAGTCCCTTGTACCTGCATCAGCCTAGCAGTTGTGTATTTTGTGACAATCATGTTCATGAATCTGATTTCAGTGGCACAGCTGTGTAGTATCTAATACAGAGATTGTTGACAGTATTGTGTGCATATTGCTGCATTGTGCATGGTGTTCACTGCACAATATTGTATTATTGTTTACACCTTCAGTAACTTGTACATTATTTCCTAATAAAATGCTCTAACATCTTTTTCCACTTTTTTCTCCACCAGACACCCTAGGAGATGGTTCATCCTAAGATGCACAGATCTACCTATCGCCGTCCATCATTCCCACATTTGTATTTTATTATAGTGTCTAGTTGAACGCGAGCAGCGCGATGCAATGCCACAAAAGAATAAAGCCCATTATAATCACTGATGTGGCCTACACTGGATGCGGCACGACTCGACAAATCCCCATCAGTAAAATGATTCCTCGTTCTATTTCTGGCATAGTCCAAGCTCTTTGCAACATTGGTTGCGTCTGGTGTGACATGGTGTTGCATTAAAAACATGAGTTCTACTGATTCATCTGCTTGCTCCGATCCGGCGCTGCGTGGCAGCAAGTACTTTCAAATGTAGAAGATTCATTGTATAGACGTCGTATAGAGGTAAAGAACACGGCTCATTAACAACTAAAAACGTTTGATCAAATGCAATGTTTATCAGATGCTACGATCTTTCACAGACGTCTCCGCAACTTGTGTTTGCTATCGGGGATACATTTACAGTAAGCTAATTGTGTATTTTGTCATCTTATTTAGGCTAATAATATTGAAAAAAGCTAAGGAATCATATGATCAGAATGTTAAAACAAATAAAAATCATACCTTTCTGAGTAGATATTGAAGCGTGTCCCAGCCAGGTTCATCACTTGTTGCGGTTCCCTTATACATTTCCGATGTGGTCTGTGTGTATTTACAGCACGTTTCTATATTTGGTTGTGAATATTTGCAGCGCATGTGTTGTCAGACTGATCAAGATGTTTTCTTAATTTGCTGGTGCTTTTTCTATTTGCATGTGTTTTTTTTTTTATTTGCAGCACGTTGAGCTCTCTCAGCCACCATACTCATAGGGCAAAATGTGTTAAAATGTAAGACTCCATGCAAACATATACTGTATTGACCCAAATATAAGACGATGTTTTTTTCTTGGAAATACATCTGAAAAAACGCGGTCGTCTTATATTCAGGGTCTAGACTTTGACATGTCAATAATACACCCACAACAATAGGTGGTGCCAAATACACATAAAACGAGTGTGCCATGAAATACGTAATGTAATGCGTGTTGTAAAGATCGCGAGTAAAAGCAAAAGAAAAAGAAAAGCTTACAGCTGCATGAGTCGTGACTGTCACGTTAGCCTGATGGGACCAAACTCCCTTTGTGATTTTAAAACGTAAGACAGTACCCAGATTTGAAGACTACAGTAAGATTTAACTTCTACTGTTAATAAGATTTTGGTAGGCTACTATTAGATGGATAGCCTAAATGTCCTAATTCAGATGGGCTACCTGCTTTTTTTTTCTTTTTTTTTTACAGTATATCAAAAAGTGTATATTTTTTTATGTGATTGTTGGTACATTTTACCAGTTTTTACCATACTTTCAAAACAAAAATTAAAATAGGAAAAATATGCAATATGAAAATAATTGAAGACAAAATGTGTTTTACTGAGAAAAAACAAGATTTGGTTTTTAAAAAGCCTTTTTCCAAAAGGTACATCTAGAAAAAGGGGGGTCGTCTTATAATCAGGGTCGTCTTATATTCGGGCCAATACGGTATTTAGTATGTGCTATGGCAGTAGGGAATATGCATGGGCATTAATTTGTGTCATGTTAAGGTTATGTTTAGTTTTTAAATAAAGCATAAACCATTCAGACATGTCTACATTCATACAGTGGGCTTCAACGGCTCACCGTTTTACAGCAGACTT